TGCCTCCTGAGTGCTGGGATTAAAGGCGTGCACCACCATCGCCTGGCCTGTTCTTTATAATTTTAACAAAGTGAGTTGTTTATACTTTCCCCTAGATTATTATTCTCTTGAAGTAAGAAAGAATGTGACATAAAGTAAGGAGAGAGCTTCATTTTCATTTGTAATAGTGAGGCCCAACATGGGCAGAGGGGGTTAGGGTTACATCTAGAAAGACAACAGGAACTGGGATATTATGATGAGTGGTGTTCTGGACTGTTGCTGTTGGAATTATTTAAATATTGTGGTGACTAAAGAGTCACAGAGCCAAATCAGAGTGAGAAGGAACTCCAGCTCATTACAAAAGTTCACAGTAATTATAATCTATTATGTCGAAATTGGGGTATGGTCAGTGCAGGACCTCAAGAAAAGTGCTTCTACAACAAACAAAATTGAGAGTACCAAATAGTAGGCACATATTCTAAAGCTACTTCTGTACTGTAACCCAGATACTGCTAAATAACCTGGATCGGGATTATTCATTCTTCAAAAATGTATTATTCAATTTTACTTGGACAAATCGAGTTAATATACACTGTGTGCATTAAACACATAAAAAGAGGATTTGTGTAAAATAGTAGTAAAAGGCAGTAGGAGCATAAAGAAGCAGATTGTAATGGAGTTAGACAAGACAATGAAGATTTATAAAAATAGTTACATTCATAAGTGAAATTTTAAGCAGGAATTATGTTATAAAATAGTAATTTTATGATCAAGAAGTACAAATCTTTCTTGAGACAAAAATATTAAGATGTAAAAACTGAGATGAGATAATAGGTATCAGAAAAGATGGAAATAGAAATGACAGTGAATAAAATTATCTTTCTGACTTGTGTTGGCTTAAATACAAAGCTACACAATGTAAATGACAATAATAAACCAGGCATGGAAATATGCCTACTAGTAATGTAAATAATGGCAAAGAGATAATTAAAATATAGACTAAGATTTAAGGTTAGCTGAATGAGTAACTAATCAATTTAACATAGACTTCTGAGTCAAAATAATTGCATGCCTAAAAAAGTACAATGAAGATATAATTTATTAGCTTTCCCCTATATAGTATAACATACCATTTTAAACGATATTTGTATATGGAATAAAGAAAAAAAGGTTTATTTTTCAAATAATTCTGTGAGGTTTTGATTTTTAGGTTAAATAAAGGCATAGAACACTTGAAAATTGAATGCCACATTTGCCACATATCAGGTCACAATTTATATGATAATTTTATATATTATTATTGAATAGGCCTTATTACTTGATGAATGTTCAATAAACTGAACACATACTATAAAAAGTAGTTTTTAATTAAAGAGAGCATGACAATGTAAGACCCGAATGGAGTTGGATAGAACCCAAAACACAGAGATATAATTTAGAAGAAAATCAAGGCCAGTATTCAGAAATTCTCAGGGTAATAGATAGCCATTCAGAGAGATCTAAAACATAGGCTCCCCCAGGCAATTACTTCTCTGAAGTAACAATAATATTACCTAACATACTTTTGATAATAAGATAGAAATCTTATGGGTCCCAGAAAGATCTCAAGACCTCAAGGTCAATCTGGTAGTCATTCACAGCCATCTTTTGATCATCCAGACACATATCTTGGTCAACTAGAGAGAGATCATTACCAGCCAAAAAGATCTTAAAAACATCTGCAAGTAGAAAGATGAAATATTACCCTAAACCAAGTCCAAATTTGACCAAACTTTTGTTATAATAATAAAAAAAAGTGTGGTTTGAAATTTAGCACAATGATAGAGTTTGTACCTAGCAACTACATTTTACCCAGGGTATATGTGTGTTTGAATTCCAAATACTTTTATGTTACACAATTCCTTTTTTATGGGAACATATTAGTAAAACATGAGACAGCTTAAGATATCACATTATGGAAGGACACTAGAGAGGCTTCTGCTTCCATCTGGAACCAGGAAAACGGTACTGGGTTTGTGCTTTGTCAGCACAACCACAGGAGAAGACAACCCAAAGTAGCTTCAGACATTCAAAGCCACCTTAGAATTGTGTGTTCAATGTGGCAAGAGGAATGATCTAAAAATCACTAGTCTGCCTCAAGAATGATAAAAAGTAACCACAAAATTTCTATCCTTCCAAAAGCTATGACAATAATCATAAAAGCTGTTTATTTCACATTCCTCGCATCATAACCTATAGAAACACAGTTTATTAATTTAAACTTTATCTGATCAGTGATGAGAATATGTCCATAAATAAAATATATTCCTTGGTGCTGTATAGAAAGAATTTAGAAAGAACACTTTATGGACAGTATTGTGCAGTAAATTCTTTATAGGGAAATTGCTGCACCTTCTACATGCTTTTATTAGTTTTTCCTTAGCCAGTGTGCGAGAGAGGATGGTTCCTGGTGTTTTGATGATAAAAATCATTCACATTTATTTAAATAAAACAGCCTCAGCATAACTCAAACAGTTGTCCAAACAAGCTTTCTTCGCAGGAGTGCTATTTGTTTTAATAGACGTGGACATGCTGCAAAGCTTCCTAGGTGCTTTTCACCTTCTGGATAAATATGTTTATGCTTTTACAAGTTTTCATTTCTTCATTAATATTTAAGTACAAATTAATCAAAACTTATTACTTGAAAATAATTATAAATGATATATTTTGCTACACTTGAACAAATTAATCATACTCAGGTTTTATACAAGCTAAATATGTCTTCAAAGTGTTCATATTTATCCATATATACATATGTAGATAACAATAATTAAGGAAAAAGAACAAGAAGGGGTGTATGAAAGTGTTTGGAAGGAGGGAAGGAAAGAGGAAATAATAAATAATACAATTATCAAAGAATCATTAAATGTTTTTTATAAGTGTCTTGAACAAATAATTTGTAAGACATGACCAATTGTAGCATTTGGCTTAATTCTGAAACATTTTCACCAACATTTTTAGGTTTATCGCCTATTATATAGCTATTAAGAGATGTCTGTATAACTACTACAAACATGGAATTGAGAGAAAAATGTATCTTAAACAATACAAGTAGTTAAGTAGTCAAGAGAACATCTAAGAAATAGTTTGGTGTTCCATACAACTTAACCTTTAATTTCTGCAGCTTATTGCAATAACTAACTCAAGTTAGTGCATATTTCACTTTTTATTTAAAATTCCAAAATTTTTCCATGTCTATATTAAATATTTTTCTAAACAATTAAAATGATGAGTTATAACTTTTGTTTCAGGGAGTATTTATCAAGTTAGACTCCATTACTTAATAATAGCATTCCTAATTATTTAATGAGACATAAGAAACAAAGGTGAAAGAAAAGAAATAGTTCATTCCATGAAGCATGAATTAATGTTTCAGGGAGGAAAGTTGCACAACATTAACACTTTTTTTCTTAATGGTTTTAAGGCTAATGCTAGATTTGTAAAAAAATAATTTTATTTAAGCCACAGTCACAACTGTATACAACAAACTAAACTATTATATATAAACAGAGCTACAGTATTGAAAACAGCTTGGTATTGGCATAAAAACAGAGAAGTCGACCAATGGAATCATATAGAAGACCCGGATTTTAACCCACAAATCTATGAACACCTCATTTTCGATAAAGGAGCTAAAAGTATACAATGGAAGAAAGAAAGCATCTTCAACAAATGATGCTGGCACAACTGGATGTCAACTTGTAGATGAATGAAAATAGACCCATATCTATCACCATTCACAAAACTCAAGTCCAAATGGATCAAAGACCTCAATATCAATCTGAACATACTGAACCTGATAGAAGAGAAAGTGGGAAGTACCCTACAACATGTGGGCACAGGAGATTGCTTTCTATGTATAACCCCAACAACACAGACATTAAGGGCAACATTGAATAAATGGGACCTACTGAAACTGAGAAGCTTCTGTTAAGCAAAGGACACTGTCACTAAGACAAAAAGGCAACCTACTGACTGGGAGAAGATCTTCACCAACCCCGCAACAGACAAAGTTCTGATCTCCAAAATATATAAAGAACTGAGATTTGGTTTTGCGTTGCCTTTCATATCTTCTGTGAATACTTTTACAACTGTTGCAAGTTCATCTGTGCAGTTCCGTGCTGTGTACAAAAGCTAATGTTTCTTAGTAGTCATCTACTATGACAGGATCCTACACACTTTCAGCCAATCTTTCACAATGATCCTTCAGTCTATTAGGGCTATGAAATATATTTCCCCTTTTGCTCTAAGCACTCTGAAATCTCTTATTTTCTACACCATGGGTAGTTGGGTCATGGGTATTTGTCTTAATTACCATCCACTGCAGATTGAAAAATCGCAGAGGTTGAATGAATGCATTGATCTTTGGATGTGTTAAGTCATTAGAAGGAGGTCTCTATCAAATCCTTCTCCTTAGAGCTCAGGGAATCCTGCAGAAGAGGAAGTGTAAAGATTGAAAGGGTCAGAGGGGATGAAGGACACCAGGAGAGCAAAGCCCTTTGAATCATTTGTTGAAGGCACATACGAGACTGAAACAAGAACAGGACCTACAGGTCTGCACTAGGTCCTCTGCATATATATTATAGTTTTCAGGTTAATACTCGTATAGGAATCCTGACTGTTGGAACAAGTGGGGCTCGGACTCTTGGGACTCTTTTTCTCATGTTGGGTTGCATGTCTAACTTTGATATAATGATTTTGCTTCATCTTATTATATTTTATTTTGTCATGTTTGTCATCTCTTAGAAGCCTGTTCTTTTCTAGTAAGAGACAGAAAGGGAGTAGATCTAGAGGGGAGGAAAGGGGGAAGAGGAATTAAGAAAAGTAGAGGGAGGAAAAACTATAGTCAGAATATATTGTATGAGAAAGAATCTATTTACAGTAAAGGGGGGAAACGGAAAAGAAAAGATTTAGGGAAAAGAAAAAAAAATGAAGGTGGGTAGTTTTTCTTTGTTTCCAATCTAAGCTTGCAATTTTTTCAGGTACCTCTGGTGGGCGATGTGACTTCGAATTTGACCTTTGTGCCTGGGAACAGGATCAGGATGAGGGTTTTGACTGGAATCTGAAATCCAGCAACGTCCCAACTACAAGCACGGAGCCAGCTGTAGACCATACACTGGGAAACTCTTCTGGTCATTACATCCTTCTTAAAACCTATTTCCCACAGCAGTCCGTGAAAACAGCCAGAATTTCAAGCCCAGTTATAAGCAAGAGAAGCAAAGACTGCAAGGTATGAGGGGAAAATTAAGGAATCTTATAAACAGCTATTGGAAAGGGCCATGTGCAGAAAATGGGGTGCCTGGGGCTAGAAACACTGTATATTTGGACTTACTCAGCATAGCATATTTGAGAGGAAAAAGAATAAATGGGAATAGTTATTAGAATTACTGGAGAAACTCTCTTGTGAATATACTATACAGAAGTCAGAATTTTGGAAATAACTGGAAAAATTCCAGGGTTAACTATTCATGATTATAGATAATACAAAATAAGTAAAAGGCCAGTTTTGTTTCCCCTAGGAGTTTAGTGATTATAGAAACTATGAGAATTTTATGACCACCACTAAGAAAAATAAATAAATAACATGCACTATATAAATAATATATTGAAGACTCTGATGTAGCTAGAGCTATCTATAAAAGAGACAAAGACATATTTTCAGAGAGGATAAAAGTAGATTTGGTTTTAAAACAATGAAAAAAGTTATAGGCAAAACAAACAGGACCTCATCCTTAGCTTATAAAAATTTGAATAAATGTCTAAGGCATCTCAGCTACAGGACTCAACACAACTAAATGTAATTTAAGGCACTAACTATAAAGTAAGCTCTTAGAAGTCATTCCCCTGTTACCTTGATCACAAGAGACTGTTAAATAAATCACTTATTTGTACTATGAGATATGCAACATTAAAATTATGTTACAGCATACATATGCTGGGTTGGTTGTTCCCCAATATTTGAACACCGAAAGGAAGTAAATTTTATTTAAAGAATTTTTTTCTGCTCATTTCAGGTTAGAATCTGAATTTCACAATCTAAATTGTTATGATATGATACTCAAAATGATGCTCTTTGTTGTGCTGTGTGCACAGTAGAGGTAGCTGTAACCCAAAGAGAACCGTATGTGCATCACCCTTCAAAAAACAGTCATCACCATTGGCCTTAATCCTTGGTAAACCTTCAGTTCATCAAAGGGAATTTTCTGTCTCATCCTAGGATGTCTTCACAATTGGACTCTCCCAGAGTAATCTCTGCTCTCAGCTGGGCAGTGAGGTTTTACAAAAAAGGAATTGGATAAGAGTTTTAGAGAGAAAACTTGGTCAGAAGTTCAGAATGGAAGTGAAAAATCAAACAACAAACTACCCTTTGGTTTGGTACCAAATAGAATTTAATAAAACATCCTTTTACATGCTTTTGCTGTTTTGCAAAGAAATGACACTTCCTCAAAATTGAAAGCTATACACACCAGATGTAATATATGTTGTCTATGTCTATAAATTTAGTTGTATATGTCCTTAGAAAAGTCTCAAAATTGCAAGTTAGCTTTAGTCTAGACATCTAATTAACTAGTAAAGCATAAAATATATAAAATTATAGTTTGATTTCCAAGTTTTTATATTACAATATTTTCTATAAATGCTTAAAATAATTGTTTTGTCATAGAAACTAAAAATCTCATCCATCTCTATATCCCTTTGGTCACCAAATTATAATTGCTCATATTAAAACCTCCTATCAGAATTATAAGGGATATCTGGAAGGGTCAAATTTTTAAGAGAAATGGCTTGTTTTGTTAATATTTATGATATAGATTGAATACAAATAGTCAAGAAAAGGTCATCCTGAGAATTGTTGGCTCTCAAGGATGACAAATATTTGTATGAGGTAAGTAGAACAACAAGAAATTTTTGGTAAAATTATGTGTGTTCTTTCACTTTATGGGATATCTTTGATCAAAGAAAATAAAATTGTTTTTCTCTTTCATTATGAAAAGCAGGTAGCAGAGAGAATACTGAAATTCTTTAGATAATGAAGATTTTAATAAAAATATTTAGAAGACTTAATATTTTACAGATGTTTATTCCTTCTTACCCTGGGAGTAGTTTTTGTTTTCATCAATAGTCTCCCAGGAAACAAAGGTGAGGGGGTTGTTTCCATATAAACCTATTGGCATGATTTAAAAATATCTTAAGATACAGATAGAAAATACGTGTTTCATTGTCTTTATATTAATGAGAATGTAAAGCAGAACATTGGCTAGGGATGCTTGTAGCTGCCTGGGATTCACACAGCAGAAGGTCACAAAGCTGATCCTGAATTCCTTGTATCTGCTGATTTATGAGATCCATCCAGTCCCTTTTATTCATCACTAAAATAAGTAATCTAGATAAGTTTTTGTGTCCCAGAAAAAACCATCATAAAATTTGTCTTGGAAAAACTAATTAGTGGAGATAATTTTACAAAGAAAAACACTTGGAGATTTTATCAGCTATGGAATTTGGATATTCACGTCCATGGCTCTCCCCTTAGTCCAAGCTTCTGTAATAATCCATTACATATATTAGTTAACCATATCTTTCACTATTGAAGTACATTCCTTCTATTTCTCCAGAGTATTCTCTGCACAATTGTTGATGTTTCAATAGTGTATTCTTCTTGTATAAAGAGTTCCTTCTGTAATCATTTTCTCTCAGACACCTGGCAAAAGAAAAGCCTTTAAAAGCTCTGAATCATTATTGTTTAGAACCCATTTTCTTCTGTCTCCCAGAATTTTCCTTCCCTCTCTTCTACCACATCAGAATGACTGATAATCTAGTAAACTCTGTCTCTTACATTTTGGAATATGAATCGCTTGAAATAGCAGTTTTATTAGTTTTAGAAGTTCCAGGGTCTGTTCTCTTGGTGCCTCTTTCTAGTATCCTAAGTAAAATCTGGTAAGAGCAACTCTGCAGGGTTTGCTCTGTGGAATCCCTTGTCCTATAGCACTAAAAATGTGCTTCTATTATAGGAGTGTAGTGGAATAAGCAAAATACTCCTTGGTAATTCAACATAAACACCCATTTGGGCCATAATGAAGTCACTCTCATGTGTCACCAGTCCATTAGTGAAGACAGAGATGTCGTGACACAAAGTTTCTGTTCGTGCTTGAACATTGAAGGTTAATTGCCAACATGGGGATTTTAGAGAGGAATTTTGCTTTAGAAATAGAAAAATAAATCTTTTTCATCTTCTTCTGAATTTCTATTCAACTTTATTATACTATCTTCCCTGCATGTATCTATTCTGCCTTTATTCAGTACTAAAGTGCTTAGGAATCAATAGACTGTACCCATCTAACTTGCCTTCCATATCTGTTAGTAAAGAAAAGGATATTGAAATTTTTTGAAGTGGAAATAATTATACTTATCATTTGTAATGTTCTGTTCTTGCTACAGATAATTTTTAATTATCACATGTATGGTCCTGGCAGTAGGAACCTCATCTTGCTCCAAGTGACAGTCACAAACCACACAAAGACACTGCTCAATCTCATTGAAGAACAAGGCAATTTCTGGCAGAGAAAAGAATTGTTGTTGTCTAGTGATGAAGACTTTCGACTCAAATTTGAAGGCAGAGTTGGGGAAGGCTACCCTGGCAATATCGCCCTTGATGACATTGTGCTTACAAAGGGATGTCTGCCATCTCTCGGCTTCACAGAGGAAGACTTGGCTCCTCCCCTTCCAACAGGTGTGTTTTCAGTTCTACTTCCTTTGTGTTTTTATAGGTTGTAGGGCAGAAGATAAGGAAATGGATGAAAATGAAATAAATTCCTAGTTATGCATTGCTTCATAATGAAAAAAATGCTTTAAAACTAAAATCTATTTTACAAGCCTTTACTTAAAAATTGTCTCCCAAATTTTCTCCAAGCTCTATTGTATTTAGTAGTTTCTGGGTTCTCTGTGGAGACAACCCTGTCTTAGATAAGTCGAATACTGGAAGACTCTATTGAAAGGCATCTGATTTCAAATCAGATCAGTCTTAAGTAAATAGTCTTATATATTTTAACAAAATATGAAGAAAATCAAGAGCAGAGAGAGATTTTCTGTTTTAATTACACATTATTCTTGTTATATGCTTTTCCAGGCACAATGAGGTTACCTTCTATGAAAACTATCAGTAAGATGAAAGCCATGCATATCAATAGTGGTGTTAACACATCTAAGGTGCTGACTATCATAGCTTAACCACAGGGTACACTGCAGTGCAACAGATGCTCACTGATAAGAGCTACTGCTTCCTGCAACAGGAGAGTGCCACACTGTGCAGTGATACCCTAAGTTAAGTTCAAACTGCGAAATGTTTAAAATGGTTTCCGTGGAACGTTAGTTACATCCTCTCATCATAACAAGGGAAAAAAGATTATTAAAACAAAACAAATCACGAGCAGTATGTAATTACTTATTCTTTTTAGACCAATAGATGTATTTATTTGAATTTCTGAATGTATACATTGAAATACTTGATGGTTTAGAATGTCCACATGTTGTTTTATCCTGGAATATTTAGTGATTTCTTAAAAATACCATTGACATTCACTGAGTTAGCAACTTCCAATATATTATGGCAATGTTAGAGAATACTGTGAATCCTATGAATCTACACACTGGTGATATAAAAATAGCTTATTATGATAAAATGATAAAAGATATTTTGCCAATTGCATTGTAATAGATGTTAAAATGTAACTATGTGTTTAGTGTAGAAAATGGACATGTTCTCTACTAGTATCTACACCTCTCTTGTACTTAAAAAAAACGAATGTCATCCATACAGAATGAGTTCAATAATTTGTCTGGAATTTTTACTGATCAAAAAAGGGAACTCCATCACTTTCACTTTTTCTTTTCTGTTAATCACAGAGGTGGTATTTAAATATGATTGAGAGAAAGTTTTTACCTGGTTTTCAGTAGACAGTATTACATGCACTTCATCTGCAATAGACCTAACACTGTGTAGAATAGCGTAGAGAATGCAAACTTACCAAGACTATCTAGGGGTAAGTCTGCTTAGACGGGTTATTTGAAATGCCGCCGAGCCTCCTCAGTTAATCCATCTCCAGAGAAAGCATAGCCTTCCTTCATGACTGGAGTATACGAATGCTATCTGTGCTGATGCTATATAAGTCTGTTCTATAAGAAAGTAAGTTCTTGAACTTATTGAAACATAACCTTAAATATTCAAAGTATAAGAGATTACACATTTTTGTTGACCCATCTCAGTTTTCAACTAACAACTACTAAAAGGAATACAAGGAAAATAAATTAAAATGTATTGGGGTATATTGAGACCTTAAACTTATAAAATATTTCTACTAAAAAAAGGTAGTTAAAATATTTGAAGAAGTAAACAATTGTTCTAAAGTAACACTAATTATATATTAATTATGAAGCTAATAGCATATGTGAATAATGTTAAACTCTTTGTTTATCCTTACATTATTTAATGTGTATTAAGGTTTGTGATTAGTGAAGCACAGGAAGGATTGATCTGTTGCTGAAGTACTTGTCTCCAAGTGTGAGGGACTGAGATTTGTCCCTAGAAGAAGTGGAGCTGTGTGTGTGTGCGGCTTCCCGAGGAGAAGTGGTAGTGTGCATTTAGAAACCCACAGCTGGTAATGCTATGCTGAGGAGACAGAAAATGACAGATCAATAGGGTTAGCCTGCTGGGTTAGCCTGATCATTGAAGACTAGGAGCAGTGAGAGATCCTGTCTCAAGAAACACAAAACCAAATGGACAAAAAATACAATGTAGGTGACTCCTGTGGAACAATGCCTGATACTGACTTCTGGCTTTCATATGTACAAATTTACATATACACACATATGCATACATATATATTTGTACCAACACACACATTCCTACACTCACATTGCACACACACACACACATATATATATATTAGTTTTGATCAATAGTAAATAAAATAATCTATACTATGAGGCTATATAAATAACTCTGCCGTTAAAAGCATTTGCTACAGGTTCAGTTCTCAATACCCACATGATTCACAACTGTCTTTAACTCTAGTTTCTGGAGGTCTGCCACATGTTTCTGGCCTCACATACCAGATACACATGTGGTACTTATATATACATATACACAGGCACACATTCATAATCAAAAAACATATTTAGAAAAGAAATTGGGTTCTTTATAACAAGTCAGTGAGGCAGAGAAAAATTTCAAAAGCACCATAATATCTTTTGGGCTATGATTAAATCCTGAGGATGTATAAAAATCCTCATGAGTGTGTTTATAGGATGTCTAATTTGAGACATTTGGTAGATGTGTAGGAATCTGAAACCATGCTTCTGCTCATCTGAGGAAATGACCCCTTCTGCTTAAGGTCCGCCTGATACAGTAGGATTATATGAAGAATATGGTAGAGAGATTATACTCGAAGGAGCATTCTGAAAATGAAGATGAAATAATTAACATTTTAATAGCTATCCAATTGTAATGCTTACATGTAAGTGAAGAAGATAAAATTAATGGGCATGCTATTTATTTGCTTTCTTGTAATTTTTAAATGGATGCTTAACTACATTCAGAAACTAGACCAATGCATTCATAAGCACACCCATTAAGAGTGAAATCTTGGAGAATTAATGTGAAATTGATATGAAATATTGACTTCACTGTGAGTTTAGGGGATCCTGGTATTTTAAGAAGAGTTGGCATCTTAACCAAATGAAAATCTGAATGGATTCATTATATCTTAATGAAAGTTGCATTAAGAGAGTTAAGAGGTATCATTCTTGGCACTGGAGGCTTTACTTGACAGCATGGATGCTTAGTTGGAGCATCATCTCCCACGTTATGTGGTGACATCTTCTTATGTATTTTAGGAAACTTTTATAGTAGCAGGTTTCCAAATAGTTCTTCAAAATACCTCTAGTGTTGCTTGTCCACCCCATATTGCTCTTTTATACTTCTATCACCTTCCTCCCCATTTAATCCTCCTATTCTAGTTTCCCCATTATGTCTTCATAACACTATATTCTATTCTCCCTTTGTTGGAAGATCCCATCTTCTCCCCTGATCTCTTGCTAGGTACCTACATCTATAGTTATTATGATTTTAGCACACAATGAAAATGCAAAAGCAAACATTTACATATAAGAGAAAACATACACTATTTGTCTTTTGAGGTCTTGGCTACCTTACTTAGTCAGTATGATCTTTTTCTAGCTCTATCCACTTAATTGCAAACTGAATAATTTTTTTGCAATAATTACTTGCAATTTGAATAATTTCATATTAAACAGTTAAATAATATCCCATTGTGTAAATACACCACATCATCATTATCCATTCAGCAGTTGATGAATATCCACACTCTTTCTGATTTCTGCCTATTATGAATAGAGCAGCAATGAAAATGAATGAACAAGTATCTCTGTAAGAAGGTGTAGAGTCCTTTGAGTATATGTTGAAGAGTGGTATGGCAGCATCTTCAGCCATATCAGTTCTCAGCTTCCCAAGGATTCTCCACATTGAGTTGCATAATGAATGTACCAGTTTGTATGCCCACCAGCAGTGAATGAGTGTTTCCCTTCCCCATCATCCTTGCCAGTATGTGTTATTATTTGTTTTCTTGGTCTTCCATTCTTACTGGAGGAAGATGAACTCTCAAAGTAGTTTAAAATTACAATTCCCTGATTACTAGAAAAATAAAGAAAAAATAAAGGATGAAACCAAGCAAGTTGAGCAGTTATGGGAAACAAACCAGTAATCAGTGTCCTCTCTAGCAGTTACATGAACAAGCCAGTAAACAGTGCCCTCTGTGGCAGTCATGGGAACAAGGCAGTAAGCAATGCCCTCTGTGGTTCTGCTTCAGTCCCTACCTTCACCCAGCTATCTCCCATGAGTACCTTTCTTGTCTTCTCTTGATGGTGAAATATAATTTGTAAGCCAAAGGAACCATACACCAGAAAAAATAAAATAAAACAAAGCAAAAGAAAAAAGATAGCATGATTCCTTATGAAGATGCAATTGGACCAAATCTAGAAGCAATGATCAAAAGAGACCAAGGATTTTATTACTAAAGTGATGCCATTATTGATCCCTTGAAAATTTAAAGTCTTATTTAAGAGATTTATTTAATAGCAGTTTTAGTAATTGCTAAATAAAAAAGTATACAAATAGTTGTTAAATGAAATTTAATGATAAAAAGGAAGCCACTATTCATTCTTCTTTGAAATGCCCTGGTACAAATTGAGCCACTATTATATTTTCATCTTTTTGATAGATACTTTATGAAGTCTAATATAATAAAAGAAGGGAATATTTTGAATACCTGTTTATGGTTTTGGGTTTAATCAATTTTGCTTTTCCCAAATAAAGTTTCATAATAAATTTCTTTTAGGATATACACATTACAATAAAAGTGTAAAGCAGATTTAGGTAAATCACATATTTGAAATGATTAGAGCTGTTTTTTTTTTTTGTTTTTTGTCTTTTTCTGTAAATATTGAAAACCCTTCTTTTTCTTTTTGTTGATATTAACTCATAGTAAAAGTGCTTCTTTTCTTAACATAAACATGGTTATGAAATGTTTTATCTATTATTCATTTTTTTGAAATATTTGCCTATAGAAAAAAATGCTGCTTCTTCCTGATAAGGATGTAGGCACATAATCATTCAAAATTCTGATTACACGTGGCATGATAATGTGTTGTACACTG